GCTAAAATCTTAGGGAAGTTGCCTGGATTTCAAAGAACTATGGTGACGATCTGTATCTACAATGCACGTACACTTGCATCCGAGCCCTTGATAGAAGACTTGCTCATGCAAGCAAGAAGGACAAGGTACGACGTCATCGGCCTGGCTGAGACAAGAAGACGCTAACCTTTCAATGTCGTCGATGACACCGGAGAAGAACTGTTCCTCGGAACATGCGACAGTAGAGGAGTCGGTGGAGTCGGCGTTCTTGTCAACACGAGTTTGTCTATGAACATCTATTCATTTGAACAGCTCACAACCCGAGTCGGATGTTAACGATTGAAAAGACGTGGATCAATTCCGGCTTCGACAATCTTCGTCGTTTACGCGTTGACATCGAACTATGACGAAGAAAAAGTCGAAGCGTTCAATAAGGTCTTGGAGAAGTTCTACAAAGAAGACCACACATTCTTCAAGGTCATGATTGGAGATTTCAACGCCAAGATTGGACCAACAAGAACGTCTGAGGAACGTCACATTGGGACCCACGGATTAGAATGGAACGAACAGGGTGAGTGGCTATCTGAGTTTATCATGGCGACCAAGGCAATCCATAGTAACTTGCGATTCCAGAAGCCCCACCCTCAACGCTGGACATGGGAGTTATTGAATGGAGTGTACCATAACGAAATAGACTACATCATAGTAAATAAAAGGCTTTACCTAACCGGTGTCGCTGTTGTCGCAAAATTCTGCAGGAGATCACACCATCGTCTTCTTCGTGGAAGATTCCATTTTTCGCGGAAAGGAGAAAAAGCCGGTAAATTACGAAACGGAAATCCCGGAACCACCGTAAACTGGGATTTATTTAATTCATTAGTCGGCTGTTGGGAAGATGCCGTTGTTGATAGCATCGACGAGGAATACTATCGGTTTATTCAACATCTTCACGTTAGCGCTATGAAGGCTGAGAGTTCGGAAGTCACCAAGAAACGTCTGTTTCCAGGAACGCTCGATCTGATACGCCAGCGTGGAATCGCACGAGCTGCAGGCAACCGCGAACTAACGTTCGAACTTGCAAAACAATGCAGACAGGCGATAAAAGAAGATCTTAAAGAGAGAAGAGCAGCAGTAATAGACGAAGCTGCAGAGGCTGTGAAAAGCATTCGCAAAGCTCACCGACGCTTCGCCAATTACAAGACCAAGATGATTGCACTCCTGCGCCCAAACGGAACAGTTACAATGTCCAGAAAGGTAATGGAGAAAATCATTCATGATTACAATTCACATCTCTTCAATATGCACGTCATCCTGCTCTCATATGAAATAAAGGAGAGTGGTTCCCAGGATCGACTTTCTCTTAACCTCGGCATTGGGATATGAAGGTGTCGTTTTCTTGTTCAGCATTCGCGAGGTTTTTAAACAGCATACGTTTACTTCCATAAAAAACACAATACAATACAACGCTAGCTGACGTTTCGGCAGTATCGCCTTCTTCAGAGTCTGGTAGGGTATACTGATATACAATCTACATCCTTGTTCATTTCCTTTCTTCCCACCCTTCACACACAAAGAGGGCGATTGTGAGAAACATGTTTTGAACAGCCACCTCTGTGTGCACTGCCAGGGAACTAAAGGAAGAATCGCGCGACTTGGCTCGGCAAATAGCCATCTCAAATGGCTACGAAATAGTAACCCCACGAGATAAGTTTACAAGGAGAACGACGCGCCCACGCGAAACACTTGGCCAAAAGAAAGTCCCGTTCATGCTGCCTTTTATAGGCGATGAAGTAAGCGTAGCTATAAAACGATGCTTAAGAAGGGCAGGTCTAGAGGAATCGGTAGCGATAGTTGAAATACCACCGGCTACTCTGCGTCGCCAATTAGTTCTCAACCGCTTGTACGACCGTCTGTGTGAAACAACAAATTGCGTAATTTGCCCTTACGGCAGGGACGGTGATTGCATGAGTTCAGGTACGATATACCTGATCTCTTGTAATAATTGCGGAGATGAATATATTGGCGAAACGGGCAGACCTTTGTGTATCCGTATAAAAGAACACCTAGATGGCAAACGAAAACTAAGACGAAGCACCCCACTAGGCACGCATAGGATACAAAAGCATAGCGGAGACGATTTTGAAGTAAAAGTCAATATCCTTGCACAGAAGTCCAAAACACCAGCGCGAAAACTCCTTGAGGCTTTTTGGATCAATGCCAAAAACCCCATAATGAATGGCAGGGATGAATGCCCGGAGGTCATACGCGACCTGATCCCGTACGTTCGCATCGATTTTTGATGTGGGATGGTGCAGTCGTCAACCACATGCGACTATAATCAGCCGTTCTAAACTTCCTCATTGGAAGTCTCGAAAAAAGCGGTGGGTTTTTTCGAGAAGTTGTTGATCATGTAATTACCAAAGAGTCTTTCGTCTTTTTGTAAGTGTTATTAAAGCGTTTGGCCTAGTAGATTGCATATCAGTATACGCTTCCAGGCTCTGAAGAAGGCGATACTGCCGAAACGTCAGCTAGCGTTGTATTGTATTGTGTTTTTTATGGAAGTAAATGTATGCTGTTTAAAACCCTCGCGATTGCTGTACAAGAAAACGACACATTCATAAAGGAAAGTGGATATGTCTTACCACCGGTTTCCCCTTCCGGAATCCGAAATGCTATTTCGACAGTGAAAAATCGAACAGCACCAGGACTGGAGAGGATAGGATCTGAACACTTGAAGAACCTCCTCCAGTCCTCGTAAGCACACTGACTCGGCTTTTCACACGTGACCTATCTAAATGCAAGGTCACCACCCAGTGGGAGACCAGGAAGACTGTGTTATTGTTCAAAAAGTGTGACCTGCACGACATCGGCAACTATCGCCAAATTTGTTTACTGTCTGCCGTCTACCAACTTTTCACTTGAGTCATCCTAAATAGGATTGACAGAACACTTGACGAAAGGCATCCATGTGAGCAAGCACGGTTTCGAAAAGGATTTAGCACGTTGGACCACGTCCACACGGTAACAAGGCTCTTCGAAGTATCGCGAGAGTACGAAAGACCGCTGTCTCACTTTTATCGATTTACAGAAAGCCTTTGATTCAGTTGAGATAGAAGCAGTCTTGGAAGCCCTTGATAGTCAAGGTGATCCTACTTAGTACATAAAGATTTTTCCTGAGCTGTACAAAAATTTCACAACCAAAATATCACCATTCTACAACGATACTAACATTGACGTTAAAAGAGGTGCTAGGCAAGGCGATGCCACCTCGACAAAATTATTTACCGCCAGCCACCAGAACTTCATGCGAATATTGGAATTGGATAAAATGGGAGTGAAAATCGGTGGGCGGCAGTTATACCGTGTTCGCTTTGCTGATGACATTATCCGCATAACGCCAAACATTAGCTAAGGGAAACGCATGATTGACGACTTTGATAAAGTCTGTGGAAAGATTGGTCTTCGGCTAAATCTCACAAAAACGATGTTCACGAAGAGCGGATTGGTTTCCATGCTCCATTCACGATCAACGGAACGAATATTTCCGAATGCTCCAGTTATGTCTATCTAGGTCGGGAAATCAATATGATGAACGACCTGGCTCCAGAGCTGAGCAGAGGAAAGCGAGCGGCTTGGGGAGTTTTCAAGAGCATCGAGGTTGTAGTGAAGAGAACAAAGAACACCCGACTCCGTGCCCACCTTTTCGTATCAACGGTACTTCCTGCCCTAACGTATGCGTCAGAAACCTGGCCGATGCGTAAGCAGGGTGAAGGATCTCTCAGCGTTATCGAATGCGCTTTCGAAAGGACGATGCTAGGAGTATCCCGTCCCACACAAGTAATGGATGGGATCCGAAGCTCCGATCTGCGTCAACGATCAAGAATCAAAGATGCTGTTCTGTAAGCCGAACGGTTGAAGATAAGCTGGGTCAGACACATAATGTGGATGAATTTCAACCGATCGACAAGAGCTGCCGGTGGCTGGATTCCTCGGGATGTCAAACGTACTGCAGGAAGACCACCGTTCTGATGGTCAGAGTTTTTCACAAAGAGCGTTGATAAAAGATATGATGCTGGACGAGTCTCTAGCGAGCAGAACCCACTGGGCCACTCTTGCACGCGATAGTGGAAATAGAAGATTTACTGGTGCCCGCTCGAGTCACTCGACGATCGACAAGACTGCAAGTGATACAGGTGATACATGACGTAACATGTTTATGATATTATATGTATAATATAATATTTGTAAAATATTGTATGTCATATATAATATGATATATATGATAAAATATATGTAATATATGCTGTGTAATATAATATAATATAATATATATATGGGGTGCGTGTGGCGCAGTTGTTAGAGGCCCTGCAACACACGTGGGTTAATTCCGCTCCCCAGTCCCACCAAGCCCTCCATTTCTGTGGGGTCGCCAAATTTGTGCGAGATCTGTAAGCAAGGTTAGCAGCACTGGCTTGATACATCGGTAGGCGACCACGAGTCATTGTAGAGGCCAGATATGCATTCAGTCACCTCTGACGATGCTTAATGAAGTCGAATGCATAGCACATCCCTCAGGGATTGTTCAACGCCAAAAGCTTTATCCTTCATATATATATATATATATGTATATATATATATATATATATATATATATATATATATATATACTTCTGAAGCACGTCGGTATTATGTGACTTAGTAAATAGCGCTTCGTAATAGTTAGTTAATTTATTACTTAATTTTGTTGAACACTCGTATTTTCTTGTTGCTGATAAATATATTAATGATGCGTTATACAAATTTGGCGTTGTACGTAAAACTTATGCAAAGTAGAAGCTCATCCAGGTTCTCTTGTAATCTCTATGAAAGAACGTTTGTTGTTAGTGTAAAAAGTTTGTCTATTCGTGCACCGAATGAGGTAAAGTATAAATATGCAGGGTAGAGTGAGTTAGTTAATAGTGCCAGTTATAATGTTGCCGAAATCTCAGTCGCTAGTACACTTCGCTTGTCCGTCTCGTCTTAGCGCTACACAGATCATTGAAATCAAATTCGGTACTGCGTGAAAGACAGAGGATATTCTGTTGAAATGCGATCGTAAAATTTCCGAAATGTGCTGTTATGATGCGATTTTAGCTTGATCTCTTATCAAACCCTTTTTCGGTATCATTTATTTTTCTAAATGTCTGAAGTGTAAAGTGATGCAACTCTAAGATTTGCCTAAAATGGCCATAAAGCGATGAACATGTTCTAGCGCTATTCGTTATAATCGCTGAAAGTCTGGACTCTGAAATTACATATCTTCAATACTTTCTTTAGAACTTTTCTACTGTTCTCGTTTTTCTTAGTTATTTACTTAAGAAAGAAATCTTTTAAGCAATTCTCTTGGTCACTAAAGTCCTACTGTTCTTGAGACTTAAGCTTATTTTTATCGCAAAATATCAACTTGTGTTGCCGATGTCATTTGCGTTTTCTCCTATCACTTTGTTTCTTCTTTCCTTTCTCCGTCACATATTCTTCTTTCTATAGTTTTTCAAAACAAAAAATGAAAACACCTAGGATGGGTGCTATGAACAATATGCTCATGCCATTTAGAGTCTCCACTTGAATCGGTAAGGATTAAATCCGTCTAAATGTTTGTGGCTTCTTTTTTTGTGAGCTGTTTTTCCACTAGGATCGCATTATCATTATCAAAAATGGGCACAGATTAATTTCTATTTATTCTGGCGGTCACGAATGTCACTAATTTTAATCATGTAGATTATTGAAGACGTTCCAGATCTCCCTATGTATAACGTGTCTCTAGGATAATGTCTTAGAACTGTTTTTTGTTCTATTTTTAAGTGTTTTTTTGTAATTGTAGTATCTCTCTTCACTCCGGGCGGATTAAGCTTTTCGTTGTCCACACCTCATGTTTTTTTCCTCACTTTCGCGGTTCAATCAGATTCGCAATGCTACAGTTTTTTTCAGGAGTATACCGATCCGGTTTTACCTTCAAGCTCTTCCAAAAATTGTGAGTTGAAATTATGCTTACTTTCAACCATTCTCAATCATTAAGCACTTAAATGAAGTCTTAAAAATTTAGGATACGTGGTCGCATTATGCTTAAATTTTTGGTTGCAATTATTTTTTAGGAAATTTGCTTGAAAACTGATAAAAAAGTCGTGTCCTTATGAGAAAGTATTTTCGGTCGTCGACCTTATTTTAATTTTCTGTTCAGAGAATAAGAATACGCGGCGTTTTTGGTTAGTTACTTTTATTTCCCATCGATGAGCTATAATGATGGGACCTAAACTGTAGTTCGGATTCGTCAATATTCGAAACCTGTTTTTGACCAATGAGTTTAGGGGAGTCACGTAACCTGATGACATGCAAGTGTTAGACAG